CACACTAGGCACAGGAAAGTGGCCGTCTAGGGCAGGATAGCTGCCAGCCTGGCCACCCAGGAGCAGGTGTGCATGAAAATCAAGGTGGTCCAGTGAGACCCCCGACCCTGAGCCCTGAGCCCTGGCCGTACTGGGTCAGACCAAAGGTACATCTAGCCCAGTAGCCTGACTGCCGACAGCGGCCAACACCAGCTACCCCGGAGGCGATGGACCGAAGACAATGACCAAGCCATTTGTCTCGTGCCATCCATCTCCAGCCTGCCACAAAGAGAGGCCAGGGACACCATTTCTACCCCCTGGCAAATACCACTCCATGGACCCAACCTCCATGACTTTATCTCACTTCTCTTTAAACTCTGTTCTAGTTCTAGCCTTCACAGCCTCCTTCAGCAAGGAGTTCCACAGGTTGACTATTTGCTTTGTGAAGAACTTTCTGTTATTAGTCTGAAGCCTGCTACCCATTCATTTCATTTGGTGTCGTCTAGTCCTTATATTATGGGAACTAATGAAGAACTTTTCTTTATGCACCCTGTCCACACCACTCATGCTTTTATAGACCTCTTATCATATTCCCCCTCAGTCTCCTCTTTTCTAAGCTGAGAAGTCCCAGTCTGTTTAGCCTCTCTTCATATGGGACCTGTTCCAAACCCCTGATCATTTTAGTTGCCCTCCCCTCTCCCACCTCCTTTTCCCAGTAATTTTGTTCAATAAAGAGTTTCTATTTTTGAACACACGTGTCCTTTATTTTGTACATCAGGAAGGGGGTCTAGGGAGAGGTAAGTGGAAGGAGGTGAGGGAGGACTGGGGTACGAGCCCCCGATGGGGAGTACTGGGCTGGCTCTGCGGGCTCCTTGGGGTGGAAGCTCTCCTGCAGCCCCCCGATTGACCCTCTCCCCGGATGGCAGCCTGCGGCAAGTGCAGCCGGGCTGATGGCCGAGTGCTGTGATGTGCCGAATGTGGGCACTCAGGGCACTCCAAGCCAGGACTGCTTTGCTGTCCCTCATCGAGTTAGACAAGCGAGCGGGGAACCCCTGAGAACTGTCTGTCCAGGGTGGGGGTCGGGTCCCTTTAAGCACAGCCCTCCGCTAGCCTGAGACAGCAGCTCCACGCTCTTAAGTCCTAATCTGATGCCCTGCCGGCACTGCTTCCAGCCATCCTTAACCCCGGTTCAGGGTCCACTCAGTATGGACATGCTAGTTCGAATTAGCAAAATGCTAATTCAAACTAGTTTTTAGGTCTAGATGTGCTAGTTCAGATTAGCTTAGTGCTGCAGTGTAGACCTACCCTTACTGCTGTCAGTAACTTTAATTAGCTTATCACCCTCCATGAGTCAGCACTAGAGGGAGTGGGCCACTGCCAGCAGGTTTCACAGATTTTTTGCTGAAAGCGGGGGACCGGAGATGCCATTCCAGGATCTAGAGGGGAGTGTGATTTAGTGAGGTCAGAACCTTCAAAAGTGAACTTCCTGCCAAGCCCTCTTCAACTTCTCTGTCTCAGACTCCCTTTCTTTGCCCAGTTCCCAGTTTCCTTGCCTAATGAGTCCTGGTCCCCCAGCTCCTCATCTGTTCCGTCTGTCCTCCCTCAGCCTCTGGTGATACACACCCATGTTCCTCATTACCGTTGGGGGATCCCAGTCTCTCTCCCTGGGCGTCTCCTTTAATTTGTGTCCTCACCATGCTCCCTTGTCCCAATTTCCTTACCCAGCCAGCCTTAGTCCTCCCCCTGAACTCCATTGCCTCATCAGATCCGTCTCCCATCCTCCTTTCCCCCCCACACTTATCTGATTCAAATCCCAATCTTGCTCAGTAAGTTTGTCTCCCTTTCTCCAAGCTCATCTAATCTGTTACTCTCTTCCCAGCTCCCAGTCTCTGCTTAACCACTCCTGTTCTTTTCCCCAAGCCCAGTTCCCAGTCTTTCTCTCTCTCTCTCCCCTCTAGCTACATCTCCCAATCTGCTCTCCTTGGCACTTCCTTCCCAGGACCTGTTCCCTCCGGCAGCTTACTCCTCCACACAGCTAGAACCCAGCAGGGGGAGCATCTCGAATACAAGAGAGACAGGTTCCCTGTTCTCCATTCCAGTGAGCAGCCCCATCAAATTGCAGAAAAAAGACCTGTTTAGCCCTAGGCCACAGTATGCTCTGGGAGGACCGAATCTTTGGGGATTTAGATGCAAAACTCTAGCAAATCAGTAAGTGCGAACAGAGGTTTTTTCAAAGGCATAATGTAGTTAAATTTGGTTGATTTTTGGCAGCGCTAGCAAAAGAGAGTTCCCCCAGCTTTGGAGCCAAATTTCATGTCCCTGCTCCAAAGCTGGGGGAACTTTAGCTTCTTGAAAAAAGGTTGCCAACATTTTTAATGTGAGCAAAATTACAATGTTTTCCTAATCTCATTCTCAGGATGGCTAAATCATTTAGGCTGAACATTTAAAAAAACAAAAAACAACCAAAAAACTCTCAATGGTTTGAGGCACATAACTGACATGGAAGATTTCAGACCACATGATTAACATTTTCCAGCAGTATAAACGGAAAACAGGGTCTTACAGTGGAATGAGTTAGGCATCCCTCACAGACAGTGGTATCAGCCCTGTCGGTAATTAAGGTTAATATTTAAAGGGTCATTTTAAAACCAATGGAGTTACCTTGGTTCCAAAAGGTTTTGCGTTCATTTATTAAACATTAAAATTGTGACTTTAGCTTCTTATTATTCTAATAGCTGTTAGAGCACATGGGGCAGTGGCCTGAGTCCCTAGTTCTAATATCTTGTCCTGCCAATTTCTACTTTATTGAGCAGGAGTGTGTGGAATGTAATCTGTTGGAATATTTTTGAACTGACATTTTAGTATAAAGTGGGGTAAAATAAGTTTTAAAATTCTACATTAAACTCTGCCTTCTAAAACAATTGTCTGTTAGCTAATCGGTGTGTGAATGTGGGGAGCTGGGTTTTCTTGGCTGCTGTATATTGGAAGCAATGCATCTGATGGAAGCATAAGGGCTTGAAGAACTTGCCCACCTCTGTCTTGACTTTGGTTGGTCATTGTCCTAGGTTACATGAAGACAGGCTCGATCTCACTGGCTCAGACTCAGGATCGTCTGATCTCCCTGAAGCGCATTGCCTCGAGGCTCAGGTACATGAGCAAGAAACTGTGTCAGTCTTAACCCCTTCCAGCGTGTGCCTTTCCTGAGCGGCAATGACAAGCATCCTCTGTGTGTTCTGTGGCAGTGTCATGGGGATACCTTGTGAAATCCTGGCTCCAAAGCAAGTGTCCCAACTGCACCCACTCATCAACATCCATGACCTGGTGGGTGCTATGTGGGTGCCCGAGGACGCAGTCGTATCGTCCGCCGACGTGAGTCTAGCTCTGGCAAATGCTGCCTCTCAGAATGGTATGGATTTTTTTAATCTGTAACATGCCTGCTCTTTGTGTGATGTTGGTGTCCCATTTGGGATACAACTTAGTCTATTTTGGTCATCAAAATCTGCTCCTTTCTAAAGGAAATATTATTTAAATCCATTTCCCTCCACCCTAAAGTCAGGTCAGTTCTTTGATTGGGTACTGTATCTTTAGAGATCTTTAATATAGGGACTCACTTGTCTCAGGCCTCTGTAGTAATTATTTCTATACAACCCTGTAAGTCCATACAACGCTTTTCTATAATGAGGAACTTGGGTGCGAACTTAGTCTAGCAGCACAGCTAGATTCAAACCAGTCTGGACAGTTTAATTCTATGTCAGCCCTGGGGGGCATGTGGTCAGAAGCTGGAATATTGAACTGGTCAGATGGGTTTGGAGGTGGACCTAGCATATGCCTGTTAGAAGCTTGTTCAGTCTGCTTGGGTTGGTCTGAAAGAAGGAACAGTGTCATGATTTAGTGAAGGTGGTGGGAGTGGAACGTGGCAAGAGTGGAGATCTGAAGCTAAGGTAGAGGCTGTATGGCAGCAGGCTGTAGAGCAGCTGCCTGTCCTTTGTGGATAGGATAGTGAAGTGTGGAGCCGACGGCCAGTTGCCTCCAACTCTCTGGAAGTGCTGGTCCTACCATTTAGCATGTCTGAGTCTTGTACTTAGGACTTCTTATGAACCTTTGTTAGCCTCACTAAGTGCCATCAGGCTGGGTGCCCCGGGACTGTATTGGCTGGAACTTCTGTTTGCCAGTTGCATTTTTCTCAATGTCCGGCCTATTGTTAGTGTCATTCACGATACTGGGCAAAATGACTGTTCCCTTGAACTAGCTGTTACCTTTTGTGTATCTGCCACCATCCAAACTCAAAAATTCCAGCATTTATAAATAAAGTTTAAGAGTCTCTACCCTGGCT